GTAAAAAGGTTGTCTGAACTGTCATTGATATTATTATGTTCTAGGTATGTCATTGATATAATTATGTACTAGGTATGTCAGTTTACCTGTCTTTTTGGACTTTTCAGAACTGCAAAGAGCTCCTTTTGTGCTGACAGCAGAAAAACATGTTTAATAAATTGACTGTGTGGAATCTTACTAGTTATTTGTTTGTATTATTGGCTAGGTGATCATGTTCATTCCTTTTTTTATCATGAGTGATTGGAGAGCGCCCCTAGAAGTAGGTCCTATGAACAAAACGGAATCAAGAGTACCGTAAAACACCTACTCAAACAAACAAACAAAAGTAGGCCCAACTTCTTTCCTTTCCTTCTGTCATTTCTGTCTGTCTGTCTGTCTTACTTTTTCTCTCATCTGAGTGGAAGTTATTTTGTTTCAAAAGTCTTCTCTTCACTCAAAAGTCCCTTTTCATGATCATTTTCATTGCCCTCTTCAGATGTTACTTGGGCTGTTTTTTTAAACTCTTTATCTCTTCTTGGTTATTCCCAAATAATAATACCGTATGTCAAAAGTAATTGCTCATTTTTGCATGCATGTTGTACCTCAGGGTCATATTATATTTATATCTCTGGAACATTTAATTAATTAGATGTTAATTAAACATGAATAAAAAGAAAGCACAAGATTAAGTGGAAGACCTATATATAGAGGTCTTCCACTTTATCTTGTGCTTTCTTTTTGTTCATGTTTAATTCGATGTGCCAGAGTCGGGTGTAGAAGTTAGACTCTTTGCCTTGGCACTCAGGAGACTTGAGTTTGAATTTTGAATGGGAAGAGTTTTTAAAAATCTTGTATCTTGGTCTGTCTGCTGGGATACTGTATTCCTGTGTCCTCGTTGGTCAGGATTGATAGGCAGGACCAGCACAGCCTGCCTCACAAATGATCAATGTCAAGTAGATGAGGGTGTTGAACATTAACATTTTCGAGATATAAGATGTCTTTGCTGGTATTCTGCAATGGCACACACTCTTTCTCTCTCTCTCTGTCTGTCTGTCTGTCACTGTGTCTCTCCTTCTCTCTCTGTATCACTCTCTCATACACACTCCCT